TTCCCTCACCTCTCACCCTGGGTCCCTTGCAATGCACAGAACTGCAGCCAACCGCACTCTGTGAAACGATCTTCTTTGAAATGAATAGGAAGGCTTAGGCTGAAGTATCTTGCTCAGCTTTTGTTTTGTTTTGTTTTATTTTGTTTTGTTGGACTGAAGATTGAATGGAAGGGCTCACGGAACATCTCCAGTCCTATTTTTTATTTTTTAGGCACAGTGAGATTCACTATGTCACTAAGTTGCCCAGACTGGACTCAGATTTGCCATCTTACTGCCTCAGCTTCCCAAGACGTTGAGATCACAGCGTGCATCCCAGCCCAGCTATCTTGCAGTCTTTATCCTTGACTTATATCATTTCTGGCTCCCATAATACTCTCTTCATGTCACTCTGCTTGCACTTGGATTTAGTTGATGATGGTGTACGTACTTCTTAATTTCTCTTGATAACTTGTGAACATCTCGGAGGTGCATGCATGGAGCATCTACCATGGTCCTCACACCCCTCTGGTGATCAGACGCTGCCCTCTTCTCGCTGGTCCAACCCCAAGTCAAGTTCTGCCCTTCTGTCAAGTGGTGCTTCTGGTCCTTTGCACGCCACCTGGTAGATGTTTAAATGTTTTGCAGATGGCCAGTCAGGAAATGAGCATCTCTGGGGGTGAGTGTTCTATATTTAAACAAAAGGAACAGAAACACGGAATGAAGTCAACTCTCCTACACTTCTGGCACAACCAGAAACACCTGTCACATGCAGACACTTGGAAAGGCACTTTCTGCTTCCCTCTTGTCCCCTGGGGACACTGCCCAGCAGGACAGGAGCTTCTCCTTCCATGAGGTAGAGACTTACTGAAAAGCCTTAATAAATCTCTGGTGCTTTTCCTCTAGAAGACATTACTTTTGAGACATCCCTGTGCTCAGAAACATATAGAGATGTCCATGCCAGAGAATAAGCACTGTGCTCCTCCCCACTAAATGTTGAAGGCTGAATTCTCTCTGTCTGAACCTTGTGTGACTTTTGGGTTTGTCTGGGAGCAAGTCTGGATAAAGGACGCTCCAGAAAAGCCGGGAAGAAGAGGCCTGGGAGACCCCCACTTCCACAGAACAGGCTCAGCATCCAATTCCTTTGCAAATTTTCCTAAAATGTTCCTCACAACACCACTGCTGGCATTTCGAGTATAGTTTACGCAATTCTCTCCTTGGGCTTCATTTGCAGGATGCCGCAGGAAAATAATTTAGACTATTCCTTCTACTTACACTTTAAAAAATTCAATGATACAAATAATGCAAAATTCAAAATGCTCCAAAGAACAACCACCCCCAAAATAATCTCTCTTTTTCCTTCTCTGGTGACCTGAAGACACATTCTTCTCTCTGGAGCCCAGGGCCTCACACCTGCTAAGCAAGCTCTGTGCCACCGAGCCACAGCCACCTGACATCTGTCTTGTACATGCTTCTTGGACACCCTTGCCAGATACTGTTATGAGTTTCCACATAAAACCAGGAGTCCAGCATCTCCATGTGCCCCATGCATAAAAAACAGCTTCCTAAGATCAAGGAAGGCAAAATCCTCTTCACACTCATCCCTTGCCCAAATGCATAGATTTTATTTTTTCCACTTTCAAAATAGGCTGAAAAGAGAGCCTTGGAATTGTGAACGAACATCAATAGGCACTGGGGTGGCCAGGGGTCACCATAATAGCAAGCATGGGCCCAGCTTTCTGCTGGAAGAGCACCAAACTCCTGTATGACATCCAAGTTCCCTCTAAGAGGGTGAAGACCAAAATTTCCACTTTTTCTTTCCTAAGCCAAAGCCCAAGATGGCTCCTCTCATGTCTGCAGCATTGTGTAATGAAGTTATTTGTCCAAATGGTGAGGGGCTGCTTGAGGCAGAGCTCTGAGACGTCCATGCAGATTTACGACTCATTTCTCATTGTACTTCTTTGCAAATTGGAAAACCTTTTACCAGATATAAATAGACACATCAATTGTAATACTACCACTTTGTACATGTTTGTGTTGTTTTGATTTTCTTTTTGAGACCAAGTTTCACTGTGCAGTTCAGGCAGGCTTTGAATTCACTTTGTGGCTCAGGCTGGCTTCGAACTCATAGCAATCCTCCTACCTCAGCCTCTAGAGTGCTGGGATTTTAGGCATTTCCCAAATATTATTGACAAATCATTCTGTGCTCAACACCATGAAGAGCTTTTTGCAGGTGAGCTCATCAATGCAATAAAGGTTCAACGGTGTTGCCTGTCAGTGCCTGGCAGTACATCAGTCCTTATTACAATGTTCCATTCAGAGATGTCCCCTGAAAGCCCTTATGTGTGGGCCTGGTGGCCAGCTAGAGGCAGGACCTGAAGGAGGAAAGTTAGGTGCCTAGGGTATGCCCCAGAAAGGCTTATTGGGATCCCAATCACATTCTGTCTCAGTCTTGCCTCCCAGTCTCCTTGGGATGAAGAGTCCTCCTCTGCCGTGCACTCTGCCATTGCATTTTGGGCCACCACAGGTCCAAAGCAGCAGGGCCAAAGGACCATGGCCTGAAACCTCTGGAATCCTGAGCCAAAATAAGCTCTTCCTTAGAAGTGATGTGCACCAGGTCTTCTGCCATAGTGACAGAAAGCTGACAATACACAGCAATGCAACATCTCACAGTAAGGCTGCAGATCTGGAGGATAGCCCGCAGAGAAACCCAGAAGTTCCCCTCGCAGTCACAGGCCCCAGGTTGGCCCCCGGAGGATGCTCCCTCAGACCTCTTCCCAAGCCTTTAAATCAGCATCTCCTGGAGCTCTAAAAATTGCTGCTCCCTGTGTCCTGTCCCTTGGACTGGAAGTCTTCAGGGTGGGGGTGGCCAATTCCCTGCTGGTTCCACTGTGCAACCAGGGTGGAGGAAGCTGTGCCCTTAGGGAATCAGCACTTAAGACCCTGAGGGAACCTAGAAAGAGCAGCAGCACAACCCCATAACAGCTCAAAGAGCCCACACTCACAGCACCCCAGCGCCCTGACACACAGTAAAGTCCCCACATTTCCTATGATGCTTCGGTGCTGTGGTGACTGCTGGCCCTGGAACCTCAATGGCCAGAATCTAACTGTTCAAGATTGCTTTCTAACTGGGGCCCAAAGTTTGGTGTGGGAGGCCCTTTCTGGATTTTACTGCCAACCTGCTGCTTCCCACTCCAGGAATCTGCCTTTTTAATGGCAGCTCATTCCTGGATGACTGTTACTTCTAAGTTTGAGAACCACCCATGCTTGACTTCTCCCCAGTGTTGGAATCGTTCTCTTCTTCAAAAGCAACCAGAGTTGCCCGGCTGATTGCATGTGGCTTAAATCAGCCTAGAGAAAACCTTTATTCTTTAAAGAAAGACAAATGGTCTCTTCCTGCACCCTCGGACTTTCTTTGCCAGTCTTTCGCCTGCCCACAGATCATCATCTGGCTCAGTTTTCCTGCAAGGGCTTCAACTTTTTCTGTCAGTTTTCAGCCTCCCCACCCTCACCTAGGAACCCTGCAGGACTGCCCTGCTCTGCCAAGGCAGGCAGCCCCAGCCACTGAAGAGCCCAAAGTACAAATAGCAGTGGTTGGCTCTGCTATGATTTCCTGTGTATTTTACTAATGCAGTCAGAAGAGGCATTATTTTCTCGAAAAGTTACACATATGGCCAGGTCAGCGTGAAGCTTCTGTTGAACCACAGTGCCTGTGTGCCTTCCCCAGAGCCACCTGGAGATGCCAACCCCATCCCCATGATTTCACAAGTATTTGTTGAGCTGCATGTGGGACTTAACCTCTAATCCAGATACTGTACATTTCGTCACAGCAACCTCTGCCAATGGCTTCAGCCCACAGAGCATTTCTGGTTGCTGCTCCTGAGTAGAATGAACAGTCTTGGATTCAGATTTTCAGCAAAACTCAGATTCAAACCTGAGTTGTATAACTTTGCTGTAAGCTTCCTTAGCTTCGGAAGCTTATTTTTCATTTGTAAAAAGGGGGTGGTAATAGCACCTATGCATTTTATGGGATTATTGGGATGATTCAATAAACTAATACAAAATGTACTTAGTAAAATTATAAAGCTGTTAATGTGATTAGTGAAAACATCTCCCACCTTTGAATAGCCTCTGACCACAAAGTGCATGTATACATTCACTCATTACTGCCACATAAAATAGGTAGCCATCCTAAAGTCCTTTGAAAAACAAAATCTGTCCTCTCCTCTACCATCTTGGACCATGCTAGTTTGTTTCATTTCCAGATGGCGTCACTGCCTCCTGTCAAGGATAGGAAGGGAAAGCCAGTATGAAAACCAGTGAGACCCAAGGTCTGGCTAGCTCTAGAAACCAACTGTAAGGAAATAGCAAGTGTCAAGTGTGCAGGTTCTCACCGCAGGAGGAACTTAAAATTGCTTAACGTTGCTGTGGTGGCTGAGATTTTGTCCAGCTGGGGCTCCCACGCTGTGTGGTGTGTGCATGGGAGACAGGACGCGATAGATCCCACTCATGCACCCCCATCTGCCTCACTACCCGCAAAGCCCTTTAAGGGGCTGGGAAACAGCCTCCGTCCAGCCTCCAGGAGTCTCTGGTTCATCGCTACTGCAGGGAAAAATAAAAGTAAAAATGTCCTATGAACTTAATTGTATAGATCCTCCTTGTATAGATCCTTTATCTCCACTGACTTTCAAGGTGGAGATAAAGAATAAACCCCAGTACCGATCTTACATTCTCCTCTCTGTCCCCCACTCTAGTCTATCCCTTCAGATCCCCAGTGCTTAAATAAGGGCAATCTCAGGGTTCCCAGAAGCCAAGAAACACTAGGTAATTTTGCCCGCAGTCTTTCTCTGGGCACCTCCAGGTGATTTCCCTTACAGAATCTTTGCTCACTGGAATGATTTGAAAATCAGAGAGGCTGTGAATTTTAAAATACACATACTTTTCCAAAAGACCACTCCTAGCACAGACCCGAGCACACAGGCAGGCAAGACAGTTAAGGATTAAAAACACCCAAACGACTCAAGTTAACAAACACCTAGTATTTATTAATAAATTAATACACTTGAAGGCATTTTTCTGATATCAGTCTCTCACCACTACCCTCAAACCCCGCTGGCACAAAGGGAGGTCACACCACCTTTGTTTTAGAACCTGGCCACTGAGGATTAGAGGGTGGGTGTGTAAGGGCGCATAGTTGCAAATATATCAGACAAGAGTTCTTACAGCTGCAGCCATTTTTAATTATAGTGATTGATGGAGAAGACCCAACAAGACCAAGGCCGGAGGGCAGACTGGACCTATTGACTATGTTTGTATAAAAAACAAGACATCTTTGAAAGCAAAGCTGGGCAAATGCTATGGAAAACATGCCCCTGGCATTCGAGTTGGACTTTCCAAAGTGCAGCAATGTGTTCCAGAACAACTTGGTCTCTAAAGATGAAGTTCAAATTCTTTGGTGGCCCGGATATCAAGCCACTAAAATAGCAAGTCCTGATGGCTTGAGGATATCATTTCTCCAGCCCAGAGCGTATTAGCGTGAAGAGGAGCACGAGGATTCAGGCATTCAACACAGTGTCCAGGCAAAAACCATTCGGTCTGCAATCATGTGGTCAGGTTTCAGCCATGAATGTGAAGTGTGTGCCGTGGAATATTGAGAAGATAATTCAAGGTCTGATTGTGTTACAGTAACTCAACAAGATCTCAGATCTCCTTAATCCCTAAAAACATCTGTAAAGGACAAACAATAATAAAAATAGCCAATAATGTTTTTTTTAAAATGTAGACATGGATGGTGAAAGACATCAAGACTGCTGATCGAATCCACAAGATGCTATTACACTTGAAGAAGAGTGTCACAATCCAGTGTGTTGGAAAAGTCACACTGCATTTACGGTCAGTTACATGAATTTAAAGTGCACAGAACAATTTGGAAAATACATAAGAAGGCAAAAACAGAGAGAAACTGGAACTCATAAAAATTTACTGGTGTGTATTTTGCAACAGTTATACTTTGCAAAGGGTTATAAACTAACTTCCCAGAGGATTTTTAAAAAGAAGAAGAAGGAGGAGAAGGGGGAGAAGAAGAAGAAGACAGATGAGAAAAGAAAGAACTCATACACTGGCCATAGACTGTTAAACACACACATACACCAAAACCAGAAGCAAGAAACCAAACGAAACCAAACGAAACCACCCTGCCACCGGGTCAGTTTGCAGAGCGCAGTGCCGGCATGTTCTACAACAGATCGGGAAGGTGGCTGTACACAGAATCCAGGAGAGTCTGGCTGGCTTCTTGGCTCTTGACCCCGATGATCTCAAACAGCCGGTCCAGCTTGTCCTCGGCCTGGGGGATCTCTTCAATCACCCGCAGCTCCTCGGGGTTCAGGATGTGCAGCATGTCGTCAAAGATGGGCTGCAGGTCGCAGGGGTCCAGGCGCACCTGCCGCAGCACCGTGTCCTTCTTCTCTGCAGGAACCAGGGGGAGAGGAGAGAGGAGACGATTGGGATTGTGCTGCAGGTAGGGGCCACCCTGAGCATGAAATGACCCTCTCCCCAGCCTCCCGCTGTGTCCCGTGTGTGGGTACCGCTCTGTTGAACACATATGGAACCATAACAATTCATAGAGCAGCCTCTTAGGGATCAGCCGGGGACCTGCCAATACAGGTGGAAGATGTACCATTGTGGTGGCACAATAATATCCAGATTTAACTGACTTCTAGGTTCTTCTGAAGCTCAGTGAAATGCCGTGATACCTTTATCAGCTTTCCCACCTGCAATGTATCTATCTACTAAACAAAGACATCCACAGCTCCAACCTTTGACCAAATGATCAAAGTCTTAAGCCAGAGCAGCCTGCTGGTCAGACTTAGCAAAGCTTTCGAGTCTGATAGAATAAAAACACACAAGCTGTTAAACACTGCTTCCTGGGTCACACCTTACACTGGGGTGAGGAGCTGTAACTTGCCCTATATGGTCTGTAACAACATACAAATTCCAATGTTAAGTATTTCAGATAAATAAACAATAGGTTAACATACATATGTAAAGGGGTTACAATGTAAGTTTGTTTTGTTTTTTTGTTTTTCTTAGTCTTTTTTTGAGATGGGGTCTCACTATACAGTTCAGGCTGGCCTTGAGCTCACTTTGTAGCCCAGGCTGGTCTCGAACTCGCAATGATCCTCCCACCTCAGCCTCCCGAGTGCTGGGATTATAGGCGTGAGCCACCATGCCCGGCTTACAATGTAAGATATTTTATAAATATATGTATAAAATAAAATCCTTGCTCTAAGATCTAAATGGAGTTGCCCCACCCTAGGAACTTTCTAACATAAATCTGTCATCTGTGTCTCCTAATTCCCTACCCTATTGTTCCAAAGCAAAAGTGGCAAATTATTTTTAAAAATCCATAATGTGTAAAAGTGTTTTCAATCTGATGGCATGAACCATAAGAATCCATAATTCAGTAAAATGGTTCTTACGATTCTCAAGAATAGTTATGCTTTAAATCTTTGAATACAAAGCTGGTAAATAATTTTCTAAAAACCTGTTGGACTACATTTCCTACCTTTCACGGAAACACCTCTGTGAGGATAAAGGTGACCTTACAGGTGGTCAGGTCAAACTTGTGACAGGTGGTGATAGCTGTCAAGTTTCCTAGGTGTGACATCACCCTCCCTGGCCAGGCTCAGCTTAGGAACCAGGACAGAATGTCCAGGACAGGTCTCTGGTGACCAGGCTGCAGCCAGGCTGGGTACCTTGGATGCCTGCCTCTCCTACCTTTGGTAATGAAGGAGCCTGTCCTGCTCAGTGCTGAGGACCCGCTGGACGTGGAGTCACAGCGGAGCAGGGGCTCGGACTCGTCCACGAAGAAGCCCTTGTTTTTGTCCAGAGGCGATGGCTCCACTGTGAGGAGTGTGGCATTTTCCAGTTTCCCACTGGGACCGGGGTTGGGGCTCGCTGGGCTGGGACCCATTGGGAGGGCCAGTTTGTCTGTTTCCAGCTGTGGGAGACAAAGTATTTTAAAGATAACTACTCTATACACATCAGAAGTTATATTGGGATAGAAACAGTGAAATTAAACCCCTTCTCAGGCACATTTTTGTTCCATTTAATATTTTTTAATTCTCCCATTTTGGTTGTCTGTAACTTTCACAAAACTTCAGCCATGTGTGATGACACAGATCTGTATAATTCCAGCATCTGGGAGGTTGAGGTGGGCAGATCACCATAAATTTGAGAACAGCATGGGCTATGTAGTGAGTTCAAGATCTATGTGAACTACATAGTGAGACCCTGTCTCAATAGATCAATTAAATAAATAAATAAACTCCAAACATACACATGGAGCATATTAAAAATTAGAAGCCTAGTACAGCATATCTATAGTCCTAGCTACTCGAGATGGAAGCCAGATGATTATGATTTTGAAGGCTGAGGCCAGAACCCACCTGCCCCCTCCAAAAAAATTAATGCTAATTAACCCTAAAAAATAAAAGGCCACAAAACATTCACACTGAGCTGTTACTGGAGAGTGTTGGACATGGGTGTGAGGAGAAAGAACCCGAATGTAAAATATAATTCTGTAAACTTAGAAAAGGCCTTGGGAATTATCTAGTAGAGTCTCCTCCATTAGGAGCTGAACTGCACCATTGCAAATACCTCTGTCAATGTCCTTAAGCTCTTCCTTCCCCCAGAACTGTATCTGGGGCGGAGTCATTACAGAGGTTAAGGTAAAACGAGGCTACAGTGGTGGGCTCTATAGCCAGAAAGCTGCTTCCTTAGGAGGAGGATTGGGACACAGACTCCTCAGTAGAGGTCCAGAGGGCACAGTGAGAAGGCACCATTGGCCATCCACAAGCCAGGCGCTAGAGGGCACCACCCTGCCCCGACCACAACCAGGAAGTGCGGGCACATACCTGTGCAGGGTCAGCACCAGCCCTCAGTGCTCTGTCTCGCGCAGTGGCCCTCCCTCCTGCACAGGTGGTTGCAGAGCCCTGGGAAGGGGGTGGTTTCTGATGTGAGGACACTGGGAAGGAGCAGGACTAAGGCTGCTCACCTGGATCCTGACTCCCATTCCAGATTAGCTCAGGGGAAAGTTCTACCAGGAGGGGAACAGGAGGACCCAGGTTTGGTGGGGTGGTTGGAGTGGTTCAGCCTAAGGCACGGTTGAGTGGTGACAGTGCAGGGACAATAGATGACAAGAAAGGAAAGAAAGGAACTGGTTCAGGTAGGGATGGCCAGCTCCACCTCAGGCAGGCTGGGCTGTGAAGTATGGAGGCAGGCTGGGGTGCTGTGCATTCTCAGAGGCCGCTGCCAACCTCAGACATGCATGTTTTCAAATTCCTAATTTAGTTGGTCCTGCCATGTGTGCCTGGCCATTCAAGCCAACACAACTTGGTTTCGTACTCAAGAAGACAAAGAGTGCTTGTTTGCACTCCAGCTTTCAGGTACATGGCACTAGGAGACATAGCCCATCAACCTAGTGCGTTGTTCTGGCTTAAAAAAGAAATTCCCACCCACAGATCACATGCCACAGACTGCAAAGTCCACCCACTTATTTCCTGAACTCATTTCCAAACTTTAAATCTAATTTAAATCCTACCCCCGTAATTTTGCCAAAAGGTTTTATCGGTGGAATCAAACACATGATTTTCAGCATAATTTGGAAAGACAAATGCTGAGCCGAGGCTCCCCTGGAGTGGAAGAGTCAGATACCAGGGAAAACCCCCTAGGGCTGTCTTAGCATCTCCATAATGAGCTCACAGAGACCATAGGACAAGCATCTTCCTAAAAACCTGCTCGGCTACTCAGTATCTATCCCTCGCTTACTGCAAGAATCTGTCTAAAAGTTACCTGTATTTCTTCTTATTTTCTGCTTTCTTCCCTTTACCTAATACTTTGACATCTATCGAAACTGATGTGCCACACCACACATGTAGTAGTCACAGTATTACCTGTGACGTTTCTAACCAGGAAGTTGAGTTCTTGAGGTAAGTAGGATGAATTGTCTCATTAGTTATGAAAGCTCATAACTCAGTATTCAGGGTTTATGGCAAATGAAGACCACCAACAATCATATTTAGAAACTAAAAGCAAAGACGCACAACTTAACAAGAAAGCCAGTTTTCCTAGAAAGAGGGTCCCTATCTTCATATAAAAAGCTTTGAGCAGAAGCTGGGAGTAGTAGCACCTTTGGGAGCTGAAAGTTCAAGGCTGGCCTGGGCTATATAATGAGTCCCTGTTTCAAAACACCAAAATTCATTCATTCATTCATTTTTTAAAAAATCCTTTGAGCAGAAACTTAAAATGATCACAAAATAAAGCTACTTAATTTATTCCTTAAACCTTTTTGAGTGCTTCAAATTTTCCATATTTATTTTGTAGTTTGAAAAACAATACATGTTATTTTTCAAAGCAGGGACTCCTGATAAGCATGTCCCCTTCTGCTAACTGGAAATACTTTAATTGTGGTATCTTACTTATGCAGGTAGCCAAGAAATAGGACTGCTGGAAGGTCATCTCTGAAGTTAAGCTCCTCTCTATAGTTTTGTTAAGGTTCGTGGCCACTGAAGTGTTCTTGCATCCCTGACTTATTAACAGAACACTGAGACTGAGAAGAAAGACCTCTGGGGAAACAAGGCCATATTAGAAGGTAACAAAACCACCAGGAATTTAAAATAGCTTGGAGAAACTTGAAGACTTTAATGATTCATTTTGCATTTCAACCATGAAGTAGCCATGCTCACTTGGAAGACTGGCTTGAGAAACAAAGAGTAAGACAGACACAGAGAGAAATGGCAGGGATCATGCAGGGTACGCTCCAAGCAGCCCAAACCATAACGGTCATATTGTGGGCCTGCAAGGGCATGGGATTTCTTTCGACCAAATGCACCCCAGATGCCCTCCTCATTAGTTTCCATGCAGGTACACTCAGTCTTTCCAGATTCTTATTAGTCTCAACTGATAAGGGAAGGGAGATAAACAGCTCACTTTACCAACAGCTGAGTGACGTCTGTAACTCCTTGTGACCTGGTGTCCTTGCTGAGTGTCACCAGCACTGAGCACAAGAAGCCATCTCAGTGGCCTCAGTTAACAGAGCACTACCTAGAATCTTGGAGTCTAAGCATCTCTGAGCTCTTAGGTTCACACCAGTGCTTGTGAGGACAGCACAATAACCTATACCAGGTTTGTACTGGAAAGAGCTGTGGCCGTCTACTCCACTCACCATCCTAACAGTGCCCTTGCCAGGCAAAGCATACAATGCAAGACCCATTCTGGGGACTCAGCCAAGTCGCGGCCAGGAGCATATGATCAAAAATAACCTTCTCCTGAAAACTCACTTCCCCAGCCATCAACTTTCTTGAGATGCTGTGCGGCAGAGGGTAGAGACAAAACATCTGCGAGTGGCAAAGGAAAACTCTCCCAGGCATGTTCATGGCATGGTGGATCCAGGTGAAACATGATTTTGAGCTGCTCCCCTGTGATCTGCAGCTGATCCTCAACCTCGGGGCATCTTTTCAGCATGCCCTTCTATACACAAAGTCCCCTCCTAAAAAGCAAAGTCATGAAATCCCAGAAAAGCTCTGCAAAGCAAGAGTGGAGATATTCCCCCCAGCTCCTGTGTGGTCTTGGGAAAACTATCTCCCCCCTCAGAATCACTTTCCCATTTCTAAATGAAAAAGTCTGCTGTAGTCCTTGCCAAATTTCTTCCTTTTAAACTGTTGTCTTACCATTGTGATTTCATTCTCTTTAGCCATCTCAACCCCAACCCTTTATCCTTCCCAAGTTACCCCCCAACTGGTTCCCTCAACTAAGATTCACCACCAAGTTATTTTCAGTTACTACCCGATTATAGTCTCCCATGGTTGCACAATCTGCTTTTATGAAACTAATGAACAACTTTGTGATGCATGAGTGACCTCCTAAAATGCAGCATTAATTGCTCCGCCTGCTAAATGGCCAGCTGAGCCCCTTGGCTTCCGCACTGCTCAGCAGGTACCCCCAGCCCTTCTTCCTTGGACGGAGCCAGATCTGCCTGACAGTCTCCAGAAAGAGCTCCTCCTGATCACAAAGTGCCCTTTCCATGTATCCTCTCTCCTAGACCTCAGCTAAGCAAGGATACCTGCATGGTAAGAAAGAGAATTCTATGACACATCTGTGAGACTCTCTAGCACTTTTATGATGGTTTTGCAAGGCTCTCATGGGAACTGCTCTGCCAAAGGAGCTGAGCAGCTGTCACCCAGCTCCCATCACAGAAAGGTCCTGAAGAGGAAGTCCTACTGGGGCTATGCTAGATGACTCGGCCTGAGCTCCCTGCTGCTGGCATGCAGCTGAGGCCCCAGCTCACTTTATAGAGGGGAGACTGAGGCTCTACGAGGTCTCAGTTACTTGCCCAAGGTCACGGCTTGGCTCTGTCTAGTTTGCAAGTTACTGGGCCACGCAGCAAGTTTGCTGGGCCACACCACTTCCCTGTCTGGACTCCTCAGCTTTTAGAGGAGCTGGCACACAGTAACAGATCACAGCAGTCATGTGTGCTTCCTGGTCCTCCGGCCGCAGGAAGGGTGCAGAGTAAGCCTCCAAGGCCCTGGTGTCAGCAGCTCAGCACTGCCCTGTGCACACCAGGCCCTGCGTCCTGGGCCCACAGCTTTGCTTTCCATCTGAACGTCCCAACAGACCAGTGACCAGTTAAAATAACAAACAAATTCAATTTCCACTAGAAGTTTATCTCAAAGGAATTACAGTCATAAGTAAAAATAAAATTAAAACTATTTAAAGATTATGATATTATCTAAGTTTGTCTCAGCTACACATGAATCAAGATCAAGCCAGATTCTAGACCACCAGTGAGTCTGTGGAAACTTCTGACCGGGCTCTGGAAACTTCTGACTGGGCTCTGGAAAAAGAAGTGTGTGACCTTCCATGCCATGTACATATATCTCCATGTCTGGATGTATTTGGTCCTTGCATTAGAGAACAAGAATCCAGCCAAAGAGGAGCACTTTGTTATCCAAAGAGATATGGTTCTGAAATTTCAGATACCAAACAAGAGCTCAGATAATGAGAGTTAGCTGCCTAATCCCTCAAAATTTGATCTGAATATATTCAGGCCCTGAGTTCACAGACCAGCAAATACTTATTTATTATGATGTCTCCCTTTATAAATAGAGTGTGTAGATCTTCTGAAAACAAACAAGGGAAATGGGTAGGTGTCCTTAACTGTCCTAGATGACAGCTGGCAAGGACTTTAAAAAAGATTCCTCTGAGTGTGAATTCTTATCAAACTCTTTCCAGAGTAAGGTGTCTTTATCCAGAATAACTCAAACTTACCCAGCAAAATGTTTTTGCAAACAAAAAAGGAAAAACTTGAGGGAAACAAGAAAATGCTGACCTCCAATTCAAAGGATTATCATCAGGTAGAATAAATTTGGAGAAAATATTAGCAATGGGGTCACAGACTGTAAATATACACACAACATCCATAGGGCAAACCGGTCCCAAGGTAAGTTTTTGGCTCTAGTTGGTAGGTTTATGAATTTTTCTTTGTTTTAAGAGCTTCATTTTTAAAAGTGGATTTAAAAAACAGAAAGGAATGGCTAAGTGCCAAATAACCCTACGATAAAAACTCCCCAAACTTTTCCTGGGTTTCTGGTTGTTTAGCTTTGTTCTTCCCACCCCAGCCCAGACTCCAGGAGACGGGAGAGCACTTGCATAGAAACTGCTACCCAGCACAGCGGCAGGATCCTCTGGCCTCTAGAGGCCCCTGGGCTCCCAGAAGGCTGTGGTGGAGAAGAAGCAGGAACCAGAACACAACCAGAACTTCTGTTCAGCCTGGGACCCAGAGTGGACCCCAAAAGAACCGCCCCACGTTCCCACAGGCTGGGAGCCAGTCACAGCCCACAGGGTGAGTGCCCTGCCATCAGGAAAGCCTTACCGTGGCCTGGGGAAAATGCCTAAAGCAATGGGGAATCCTGTTAAAGTCTCCTCTAATGCCCCA